AAAAGCGAACCTTGAATGAAGCAGGGAGAGCAAGTACAGCCCAGGACCTGCCCCCCAGCCCCCGATCAAAAGGCTGCCGCTCCTAAGGTTGGGGAGGGCAAAGGGCCCTCCCGGACAGGCGGCTTCATTCCAGGCTGCTCTGCTTCCCCAGAGCAGCGGGGGAAGCGCTGCATTCGTCACCCAGATTCAAAACGCCGAACAAATACAAAACAAAGCTCAGCAACGATCAGGTGAAAACCCCCGTGGCAAGAAGAGTTTATTTGTAAAGCGTTTCTTGTTCCTGTCAGAGTACCAAAACAGCTGCACAGTGTGATAAAGTTAAAAAGCACATAGAACAAAGAAGTTGATTTTACATACAGTCAAGCGCTGCTGAACATGAGCTCTTAAAAATACAACCCGAGATTGGCTTTGAAGGTGTATCTTGGCTCCCTCTCTGCAACTTGCTTCGCTCCCGCTGTTCCAGCTCCAGGGACCAAGCAAGAAAGTACCGTATCTTTCTAAACGAGCGCAGACAGAGGGGTTTTTCCTGCCTGCACCTCTTTGTCCATCTGCCTTACTGCTTTAGGGAGGAGGTGGCTGCATAAAAGTAGCTCAGCCTCTTTGTCCATATAGATTTCAGAGAGAGAAAAGTTAGTAGAATAAAGTGTTGCTGTCTACACTTAAGTTGCAGTCTTGTTGAGTTTTGGCTATTTTTCTGTTCATTCACTCATTCGTTGCCGTTTACGGGAATATTCAAGACAACGGCTGAAACGTGCCATCTACTGGACACACGTGCCCATAAATGAGAAGAAAATACATTACCCAGGCTGATTTGACTTGGGGAATTCGGAGTCTGGTTGGTCACTAAAGTACTGGGATGGAGGCCTAAAGAATAACAGTACAGGCCAGATCTCAGGGAATCCACACGCTGCTCAAGTAAGTGATCCAGCAAGCACAAGCACACACAGTACCACTAAAAAAATATTCAGGTAATGTCTCTGCAAAGCAACTTAACCCAAAATCCATTTAATATTGGAAATATTTTAAAAAATAGACTGGCACTTCAGCTCCTCAAACCAAGTTAGTAGTGGATAAAGGATAAACAGAGCAGGAAACAGAATATTTCAGATAGGACAGTTTAAAGAGAAAAATGTTTTTGGTGGGTTTTTTCCCCCACTCTTAACACTTACTTGTACAGTAATATTACCAAACATGACTCATAACATTCTGTAGTGCATTTGTCAGTTTACTTTTGAACAGGGGCTTTGTCACACGCCCTCGGTGATTGTCTCGCCTCTTAAGTTCACTCCAAAGAGGCTGTTCACAGGTCTCTTAACAGAAGCAAGATGGTTCAGACAGTCCTAGGCCGAGCCAGAATTGGAAGCTCATTTTACAGCGCTAAAAGTCTTAATTCTGTGTAACAAGTTGCACAAGAGACAAAGTTCTTTGAAGTCATTCCAAAAGAGAAGTACAACAGGTATGCTGCAGCAAGACATCGAACGCCAGATATCACCTCATCTCCCACTCACAAGCACAAAACCCAACGCTTCAGCAATACCTTCCCATTAATAGTCTTACATACTGCTCCGACATACCTCGCTTTTAGTTCCAAATACTAGAAACATTTACATCAGGACTGTACCTAAAATGGGTACAGCTATCTTGGAGTGCTAAGTTGCTACTTCCTGGTCTTGGTTTTAAGAAGATGCTCTTCTGAGGATGTGTATATATACACACACTTATATATATGTATCTACGCAAAGGCATGAGAGAACAACCAAACTGAAGAGCTAGTTAGCTCAGTCCATTTCAGAAGGCTTAAACAGTGGAAAAAGGATACAGTTGAAGATAAGAACCTGCAACTGCTCCAACAGACCCTTTACAACTTTAGTGGAAGAGTAATGTATATCTCTCTGAAGTCAGAATAAAATTAGCTTTATGGCTCTTTATAAAAGTTGTTTCCCCTCATGCCAAAGATAAAGCACTAATAAAAGCCAATATTAAAAAAAAAAACAAACCTCTAGTATACCTTGATGCAAGCTAAATCTCCAAAGCCACTCTGAGCACAATCAGTCCGACTCAGATTTTTCCAAATTTACCATGTTAAATTAAAGCCAGAGCATCAGCAACCCTAGAAAGCAGCAATAAGTTTACTTTTCAGGTTAAACATCCAGAATTAAAATGAACCTTCACCACTAATGCATGTAAGAGGAACATGCAAGTAGTTGCAGTATAAGTAAACCCCTCTTTTTTTATTGCTTGAATTGCATAGTATAAAACAAAGTGCTGGAGAGTGATGTACACATGTATTAAAAAAGTGCCAGAAGGAAGTGGAAGAATCGGCAGGTACAAAGTGACTGCAATTTGAGACTGGAGCTTTTGCGTCCTGCATTCGGTGCAGTAATCATTTATTCAGAGAAAAGAGTGAGACGTCCCGGAGGCTGCGCAGGCTGGCACTGATGTCGCGCCTCTGTTTTAGATTGCATCTGCCGGTGTATTGGGTCGTGTAGTTTACAGGCGCATGTCCCCTCCGGGATAGGATATCCACCATGTGGCTAAGCTTTGACCTGATAGTGGAGTAGTGGAATTGCCTCTCTTTATGCAGTTTTTGGAAATAGTCTGCCCTGTGACTGCTAGAATATTCAAAGGACCGGATAGAAGATAGTGAGCCAGTAGAGCTTGCAAGAGAGCACTGCGATGATGACGAAGACAGCGATCGCAGACTAGAACTTGATACAGCCTTTCCAGACAGAGAAGATCCTTCTTTTGACAGCTTTCTGTGAAGCAGGGGTGTTTCTGTGTACTCATCTTCCTTTGTCTGTGTCACTGCAGTCTTCAGCAAAACTGAAGTCTGAGTGCCCGTCATTCTAGCAGCAACAGAAGTCTGAGTGCCAGTTTCTGCCGTTACAGCGTGGGTCTGCGTGGCAGCATTACACGCTGTCACCACAGGCTTCTCTTCCCATGGGCCAGTTTGAGTCGATGCGCTTTTCCGTTCCACCATGGCCTCTTGATCGCTGAACCACTCCTCTTCACAGAGGGAAGAATGCCCCAGGTTACAAGGTTTGCCTCCAGGAGTATCTTCGGCCTGATCTAGTTCTTTCAACAATTTCTTTGGAGTACTAGACAATCTGGCAAATTCTGCTCTCAAGTTGCCTTCCACGGTATATTCTTTAGGGGACTCTATTCTGTTCACCAGGTGATCAAATATCCCACTGTTCCTGCAGCTGGACGGCCACTTCGGGTTGATGGGCATCGACTGGGCATAAAGAATCCTGAACTGCAGGTCAAAATGTTCAACTACTTGACCTGACAACAGCAGCAAGTTACTGCTGTTCAGCTTCCCATCGGACCAGGTGAAACTATTGAAAACAAACCAAGATCCACAGTTAATCCCCAGTGCATTTCAACACGTACAGTTACAGATAGCAAGACTCAGCTTAGAAGTGCTGTGCGTAAGGAAGGTAAAAGTCAACAGACTATTCACACTCTCTTCTTCAGGAAGAGCTCTATTTAGCCATGGCCAAGTGCTTTGCTAGCAACAAGTTGTGTAAACCAGTTTTCCAAAGCTGCTTCCAGGTTTGTGTTAGTCCCACTTAGACTCAGCTAGTCCACTTGCCATTGGCATTCATTAGTACCAGGCACAAAGCAAAGTTAATACATCCTTCTTGCAGAAACTCCCCCTTTCTATAGCTTCATCAGGCACCAGCAGACCCCAATACTTGCCTGTAGGAGCCCGTTGTCACTCTAATGCCATCAATTAACATGAACTTCTCATGGACTTTCCCAACAATTTTGGCACCTGACCTCATATAGTACGTGTTCCCAGTGAGGGTTCGAACTCTCATCAGCTGATTCAGAAGAGAAGGGAAAAATTAACATCAGATTTAAGTTAATTTCCAAAAAGTTTTGATTAGCAATTCTACCTAAAAACAGCTACACACACTATGGAAGATAGGAATGAAATGAACCTCTTTACACTGTCTGGATGTGAGTCTTATTAGTTACACAGTGCTTAATTTCTGTTACATTAGGAGAATCAAGCTGGAGAGAACAACTCGTTCCTATGAATTACTGCCCGCAAAGCGAGGAGTGCTCCCCATCCAGAGAAGCTCTCACTAGGGTGAACACAAGCCTGTCCAAGCCAAGACATAACACAGTCATGTCAGCTTATATTGAGAGGAATTAAGTAAACCACCTGGGTCACATCATCCAAACCCTTCTAAAAGAAAGCAGCTATGCCTTAGGGAAGAAAAGAGATGTTACCAAAGCTATACCACCCTTGAGCTTCCTGTGTTTGTTTCCCTTAGTAAGCAGTTCCTTGAGCCAAAGAATGAAGCTACTTGGATCTTGCAGAATAAATGCTTGAAAATTGCTGCTTCTTCAGGACTGGGATCACAGGTGCACGCTCCACCCAGCACACCGGGGAGCTGCACAGTGTGGCTGTAGCTCCTACATATAGGTAGCATAGGGTAGGAGTAGATGTAGCTCCTACATATAGGTAGCATAGGGTAGGAGTAGATATGCCTTTTCTACATTGTGAAACTGCTCGCAAACTCTGTGAAAACATTGGATTAGGGACTATACTGAAACCAGGCAATACTGAGCCTTGATCTTCAAGAGCTGAGAAACATTTCAGAAAACCCCCTTTTATACCAGTTACCAAACAGACAAGACAAGTCTTTCAGGAGAGTCTGATGTTTTATAGAAGGGTATCTTTGATATCCATAACCGTTAACTGTACCACAAAAACTAAAAACAAACCCCACACCCACACATGCTTAGTACTTACGCTTTCCTGCTCAGGACAAACTCCTAAATTCTTGCACATTTCCAAGAAATGGGGTAGAAAGTCCTGGTCAAGAAGGATATAGACAGGGACTTTGCGGTTGTTATAGGCATCCTGAAGGTCACCAAAGATATCAATATCTGTGAAGGAATCCATCACAAGGGCAATCACCTGCAAAAAAAAAAAGGCAACAACACTTGTTCAAAGGCTTTATTTTACACAAGGCCAGATCACTGCCTCCCCCAGCCATTTCTCCTGGTGCTATCATCGAGGCCAGACGCACAATTCTTTGTCCTGCTATATAGGCCCTGGCAAGTTATAGAAGATTTCTATATTCCCGCAATGTTTCTGTAGATTCACTGTGCCCTGGAATGCAAAGCATAAGCCTGAAGAGGTTTCTCCCCTCACGTCTGCTGCTGCTTTTGTACACCTTCACAGCCTGCTCTCCTACATAATCTCCCATAATCTGGCCTTTTGGTAACATCAGGGAAGCTACCACAGCAGAATCAGGAATCCAGACAAGCCACCTCCACTCCTGTGCTCCCAGCACGGCATACCTGCTACAGATAGCCACTGCCTGCAGGAGAATTGGCTCAAATGGCCTCCGCGCTGTCACAGCTGGACATCTCACAAACCCCGATTGATTTCTCTTTGTGTGGTAGGAAGGGAATGCTGTCCCTATATAAATTACCAAGAGATAAACTAGTTCTGTGGCGTTTTTCACTATTTCCGGACTCTTACTAGATGTATTCTGACTTTCCATCCCGTACCTTCACAAGAAATCCTTCCACTCACTCAACAGTTCTTTACAGAAGGCAAGTCCTAAGATGGGAAGATTTTCTCTCAATAGGCCGAAGACAAGACAACAGTCCTACATTTATGAGCAATCTCTCCAGCTAATTCAGAGCCGCATCACACACCGTTTCGGTGCCAGAATTCTCACCCTTCAAAACCAGGAACGCACATCTGTGCAGGGACACAAAGGCATAAAGAATTTGGCTTCATGACTTACTTTTCTATTCTCTTTCTGTTAGACCAGCATTGAGGACAGCGATCATACGACCGCTGTGGGTACCTGGCACCTGCCCTTATCAGATAGATAAGGCATCCACGCACTGCTGCAACACACCCAAGGCATATATGCATGCAACATAACTGCTCTGTGTGTGGCATTGCCTGTACTCAGAGGAAACATTTCCCACAGGAACAGGCTAAGCTTTGCATTCACACCTGTGCCCTGCTCCCTAAGGGATTGGCTCCATATGGATGAGTTCTTAGGTATAACACACACAGGCATGTTGGTATTTCTAGATAAAGTTAGTTTATGCTTGTGCTTCTTACGTGTCTCCTGTGCTTTTCTCTACCCTATCACTTGTCTAAGTGTCAAAGGAAGATAAAGAAAAATAAGATGCTTTTGACAAGACCAGATGAGTAAGAAAATAACCCCTGAAAACAGAACAATTCACACTAAACCCGTTGGAAACACTGGTGCCTTCAAATGACTACTCAGTTAGCAGCACATTTGAGTTCTAATCCCAGAATTAGCAGCTGAAAAAGAAACACACTTTTACTCAAAATGAGCAAAAGTACAGTTATGTTTAGAGGAGAGAGAAAGCCCTTTCTCTGCACTCATCCATTCAGGATAGTGGAGGCAAGAGAGCAACAATGTCCCCTTTAGCCACCCAAGCTAACCACATTTGAGCGAGCTGAGAAGAAACTACACAGCATCTGAAGTTTTCCTGTTCCTCCCATTAACCTGAAGAACTCAGACATGATTGAGCAACATCGCACAGCATCTGATATTCAGTAAATTATAGGGGATCAAAGTTTCTCTCCATTCCGTGTCCATAAAAGCGCTCCCTGGATCAGGCATGTACACGGCCGCGCAGGAACAGCTTGCCTGGCTCTTGGCTCGGCGCGAGGGAAGGCGTTTGGCAGGATGCTACAAGCAAGAACATTACAAACAAGTACAGCTTTTTGGAGAAACAGATGTTTTCATCAGTTTACTCGAATCGCCAGACTGGTCCTTTTCAGGTAGATGAGAACAGCGCTTCCTCTGTGACCGTTTCTGGCAAGAAGCCCGTCATTCGTGTCATCCTCACACACACCCTAAGCTCCCGTGCTCTGAAGCAGGCAGGGACTAAGCTCGGTTGCTAATTCAGGGTGTGCCATGTGCGAGCACAAGTTACACACAGAGCCAGAGGTTGCTTCACCTGGCTACCCGAAGAGGAAACTAGACGTTTAAATTTTAGCTAAGCCAACTGAATGGCTGCTAACAAGAAGGGTGGTTCCCTCCTGGGGATTAGAGTTGGAGGCTATAAACTCCGGTAACGTAATGAGTTACAGAGAACAGTTACAAGTTACTACTCCGTGTGATTTTTTTAAGCCATATTCTGCATCAGATCAAACCCATGTACTCCTGTAGGAGGGAAGTCCTGCTAAGAGCAGGCCTGCACGTTACTTAGGGGCAATTAATGAGGAGAAAGAAGAGAAGAAAGGAGATATAATCATAGGGTTACCTCTGTAGGTATCATTCTTTTATAAGAAAGGATATGACACAAAATAAGGCCTCTAAGGGACAGTGGGAGGTTTCTGCAAGCAAATCTGTCTTGCAGAGCACATCAGTAAGGAACCTGGAATAGGAAACCTTCCGCTTTGAATAAGGGGAAGATCAGCTCGAAACCAGCGGGCGGTTTGGCCACGAACAGCAGCCGCGGTGCTGCAGGCAGTACCGGGGGACGGGGAACTCTCGACCCACCACCTCTGGGAGCGTGCAGCATATTCACGGGTGCAGCATATAGACGGACGCTGTTGGGATGAGTACCAGGCGCTGTGTATTTCCCAGCTTGCCCTCCTAACAGGGCTTTCTTTACTCGACGGGGGTTTAACGCCACTTGGCTTTAAATACGCATCGGTTCTGTTGCCGATTTTCGCTGCGGTTCGCTGACCCGCTGGAGAAGGGCCCGCGGCAGGGCGCTTTCGGGGGGGCGCTGCCGGCAGAGCCCGCAGCCCCGGGG